AATATTGGAGTGAAAACTGCAGGTCCTTGTGAATACAGTATTTATAACGAGTTTGTATTAATTACTGGTAAAGTTACAGTGACACTAAGCATTTGGCATGAAAAGTTTCAGAAACACATGCACACGATCATGAAAATCTAAATGTTCTTTCATTTGATTTCACTATTACCGTCATTGTGCAGAGATTCTTTAATGAGACACTATAGCCCAATTAAAACTATTTTCCACTTTACTTGTGTCCTCCGAAAATGTGTCAGTGGGACAAGCTATTGGAAGTGTGTGAATGCATACGTGAGCATAATAATATTGCTTGCTCATTTAAAATCACAAAAAATCAGGAAAGGCAGAAGCTAAGATTCCGATAACATTAACTTGTAGATATTGAATAACTTAAACAAAAGAGTGATGTAGCAGAGCTATGCTGTACCAAGAGGAACTAGAAGAGAAGACATTATGTATGTGCAACATGGCCTACTTTATTTTGGAGTCCTTTCTTTTAAATTTCCTGGTGGATGGGGTGTGAGATAATTTAATTATGTTACCATAATGTTGCATAAACAGTTACTGTTTTTCTTATTAAAGAACCCAAAAATTATGTTAATGTATAATGGTGCCACACACATGGCCCCAAGTAGGGTGTGTGCATCATGCCATATTGCAGTTGGGAGAACTTCCCATGTTTGCCACTGCTGCTGTTTACCTGGAGCTGGAGTATTTTATCTATTTTTATTTTGATGGCCACATCTTTGCAATGGAAAGAGTTAGAAATTAATTTTTAAAAAGATATAGAAATTAGAAGAAAAACTATGGAATTTCTTAGGGATAACAGCAAACTTTGTACTTGTCAGGTTGGAAAAAGAAGTGGTGTAGTATGGGGATAAATTAGATTATACTAAAATCTTGTAGATGTTACTAAGATTAGAAGTGAGTTTTCCAGGCACTTGTAACTTTATTTTTATTGTTTTCTCCCAAACTAGTCTTCATTGAGGGTAGACTCCATGTCAAGTTTCTAAGTTCATCTATTTTTGCTGTCTCTGTGTGGGGTTTTTTTAAATGAGAATTCTTTTACAACAGGAAAAGCTTTTTTTTTCTTTCTATTTTTCCATAACTAACAAATGACTGGAAGCATAGAAAATTCAGCCCAAATGGTGAACGCTTTAGAAAGTTGTGGGGAAAAAAGTTGTAATTATTGTGCACATAGCTACTCTGCATAGCCATATGTTCCTGTTCCCCTTGTCCTCCCTTCATTAATTGTCTTAAATTAGATTGAGAGTTCTTTCAGACAGGGACTGACTCTTAGTCCCAAACTTGTTCACACACAAAGTTGCGCCAGGTTAATTATTGTCTGAAACTGATTTATTTATTTAGTGTTTGCATATTCACTGAGCCAAGCAATAGCATTCTTAGTGGCCAAGTGGACATCTTGGAGCTCACCGTTGAATTTGGTTATCGGGCACTCTCAAAACAGTGTGTGCAACTGTTTGATCTGCGCTGCAGCTTGTACTGTCTCAAAGACCCCAGTGGTGCTGGTTGGTTGCACAGAGGACTTGCCCAGTCCGCAATCAGTTAAGAAGGGCCTACTCATGACATGGTATATCAAAGCCAGGAAGGGCGAGCAGTAGGGTCTGTGACAAGGAACTAATTGATGGTTGATGTTGAACACCAGTCTTCCCACCACAGGGACTCCACTGTCACATCCTGGTGTGGCAGCCTTGACCATAGTGGGTGTTGTGATGAAAAACGTGTGGCTGGTGGGATAAAAAGGTTGTTGAACAAGGGCAAGCTTGGGTTGGCACATATCTTCTCAAGAAGCTTGCCAACTGCAATCTCCCTCCTGGTGTAAGTGGGAGCAGTGTGGCTCAGAACTGGAAGGCATGGAACATGAGTCGGTCGGAGAGTTCCTGTGATGATGCGCATTGTTGAGTTGCAGTCAGCATGGTTGGTGTGTGCTGACCAACTCCATAATGGCGCACAGTACTCTGCTATTGAATACAGTAACACCTCGCTTAACATTGTAGTTATGTTCCTGAAAAATGCGACTTTAAGTGAAACGATGTTAAGCGAATTCAATTTCCCCATAAGAATTAATTTAAATAGGAGGGGGTTAGGTTCCAGGGAAATTTTTTTCACCAGACAAAAAATTATATATTATATAGATATACACACAGTATACGTTTTAAACAAACAATTTAATACTGTACATAGCAATGCCTTGCTGCTAAATGATGGACTAGCACTCGGCTGAGCCCTCAAGGGTTAACACGTTGTTAATGTAGCCTCTCATCAAGGCAGCACGAACAGGAGGGAGAGGAGACAGCATTGCAGACAGAGACACACACCTTGTGTGTGGGAGAGAGCAAGAGATGCACACTGTCCCTTTAAGTAAGCTGACCCACTCTTAAGTGCATTGTCTTTTTAAGTGGATCAGGAAGTTGAGACAGGAGCTGCTGCCCCAAGCTCTCTCTGTCTCTCTCCGTCTGTGTCTCCACCCTGCTCTATATGGAGAAGGGGTAAGCGGGGTGCAGGAGCAGGGGCGAGGGGGACACCCTGACATTACCCCCTCCCCCCCCCCCCGCCGCATAGCAAGCAGGAGTCTCTGGAAGCAGCTCCAAGGCAGAGGGCAGGAGCAGCACATGGCAGTGGAGTGAGGGACAGCTGAACTGCTGATTGATAGCCTGCTGCACAGCTGCAGCACAGGGAATTTAGGGGAGCGGGGAGCTGATAGGGGGGCTACCGGTCCACCCTAGTTACAAGCCCCCATCAGCTAGCTGTAACGGGCTGCTCTTCCTGCAAGCAGTGGACAAAGCAGGCGGCTGCCAAACGATGTTAGAAGGGAGCATTGCACAACTTTAAACGAGCATGTTCCCTAATTGATCAGCAATGTAACAACAAAACAACGTTAATCGGGACGACTTTAAGTGAGGAGTTACTGTACAAGATGACAAGAGCTGAAGTCCTTAGGGCTGGAGCATCCACTCCCCATGAAGAACCTGCCAGTTTGCTGAGAAGTTGTTGCATGTCTTGACCTTCTCTGCTATCTTGTTCAGGTGGCTTTTGTATGTCAGTGTTCAGTCGACGGTCACGCCTAAGTAAACTGGATATGCTTCGTGCTTCAGCCTCTGGCCATTCATTATGATATTTAATTCCCTCTTAGCGTTGGCATGGTGGAGGTGGAATGTGCTAGAGACTGTTTTGCTGAGACTAAGCTGAAGGCACCATGTCTTGCAGTAGTCAGCCAGCTTTGCAGCGTCTGCAGCTCAGAGAAAGTCAGAGCCTGTAGTCTGCAGCAGATGTCATCTGAATAGATGAACTTCCATGCTTTACTTGGGTTGGTGGCAGGTCATTGATGTATAGATTGAACAAGATTGGGGCTAGAACAGACTCGCTGGGGTAACCCATTCATCTGTTTTTCCAATTTTTCCAACTTGTTTGTTCACCCACATGCATCCTGAACCATCTGTCTTGGAGTAGCAGTTCGATGGCATCAGTAATCCAGGTGGGAGGACTCTTGATATTTTAACAAGTGGACCCATGTGCCACACAGTATCATACGCTGCAGTGAGGTCAAGCTGATCATCTGCAAGTGCTAACCAAGTAGACAGTCTCCTGCTTCGCATGGGAAAGACACCCCTGGAGAAAGAAGTGAAGAGTGGAGTCCAGATTGACTAGAGGGTCTTCCGCAGGCTGCAAAAATCCAGAGCTTGCCCTGAACCTTTCACAATTCCAGAGCTGGGCAGAGTGCTACATAACATCAAGTCTGGCACTGCTGCTGGCTGTGACAACATTCTTCCAGAGTTCCTGAAACATCTTGGCCCATGCACCCATTCTTGGCTGGCTCAATTCTTCACAAGGGCCACCAATGAAAGAAGACTGCTGAAAATTTGGTGCATGTCAAAAGTCATCGGCCTCGCAAAACCTGATAAAGACCCAAACCAGGCATCAAGCTACCGCCCAATATCACTGCTTTCTGTGTGTCTCAAGGTTCTAGAGCGCCTACTTTTACAGCAAATAACACCAGAGGTGGAGAACATCTTGAATGTCAAGCAAGCAGGTTTTCGACAAGGTTGAAGCACATGCAACCAAATACTTGCACTAACCACACTAATCAAAAACTGTTCTCAAAGAAATCTGAAAACAGGCACTATTTTCCTTGACTGATTTAGTTAAACCGGTGCAACTTCGTGTGTTGGCATACACATTTATATTGGCTTAAAGAATATACACCAGTTTTAAGATGATATAAGAATGTCTGTACACACACAGTTGCAGGGGTTTAAATCAGTTTGCCAATATATGTTAAATTAAACTGGCACAACTTTGTGTGGATTAGGGTTTACAATGTAATTTTTACAGCAATTAGCACAACATGGCCTCTGAGCTGTGCTTTAATGTAATTAATAATTATTATAAAACTATTATAATAGTTTGCAACATGAATGATAGGCAGTGCTTTTGTGCAGTTGATATTTGTGTGCATGGATAGGTTATTTGTGTGTGTATATATACATAAAATAATGGACACCAGGTACTTCTTGCTGTAGTCAATATTATCTATATTTCAGATTATGACTTTTTTATTTATTAAGCGCCCCATGACAGCATTTAGAATGCTTCACAATAAAGTACATCCTCCGCAATAGAAGCTACATGTCCTTTTACTTGCAAGGTCACTTTCTTCTCATTGAGAACATATCTCTAAGCAAAATCAGTTATCCAAACCTGACCTCAGCATTCTGCAATGGATACATTACATAACTGGATGGAAAACATATTTATTGAAATACACTTGTTGTTATAGTGCTCTGTGGTGCCATCTAGTGGAATGAAGACAATGATTTTGCTACTATGGCTAGTGAAAGATGTTCACCCTTCCAGGCCATTCTGATTATCGTGTTTAGAGAATTTGGATTATAAATCTAAAAAATGAATATAAATAAAGCAAATTATCCTGCACACTTTTTAATTACTTTTCTTTTATAATTCTTCCCTTCTTTATACAGGCTCTTGATGGGAATGTATATGATCACCTTAAGGATTATTTAATGGCATTCAGCAGGACTGAGCTAGAGACATGCCAAGCTGTACAGAATACATTCCAATTTTTATTGGAAACTTCCAGCAGGGTAAGCCATTTAACTGAATTATCCTTTATAGCTGAATAGTTAAAACATACAGTAAGTTATTGGTCTTATCTTTTGGACACTAGAGATTCATTCCCAAAATATATTGACAAATATACGGAATTCTTAAGGTGTATTATATTTCTGTTCGTCCCTGTATTACACTCAATTTGACAAAACGTAAAGGAACATTTTTGGGAAATTTCCCTGTTGCTGCAAAAGTACTGCATTCTCTTGAGTGCATTTGCATTCTACAGATTCTTTAGATACTGCAGCAGCAATTGGGAAGCGTCCAATTATGTTCACTCTACATGCTTAGAAAGAGAAACTGCACTTCACTCTACATGAAGGTTTTGTAGCAACATTAGTAATCTGTGAAGAAATAGCAGTATGAAACTGTTTGGATCTTTTTTTTTAGTCATTGACCATCAACTTAAAAACAAAACACCATAACATATGATTCTTTTTTGGATTTGAAATTGGCCAATATAGAAAATAGGTTAGGCTCTTGTAATTAACATATTTGTTTCTTTGCCCCAAGTAACCAAAATCAGAAATAGGGCTAGTCATTTACAAATTCATTTTGTGGCATGTCAACTTGCATAACTTCCTCTCCTGCAAATCCTGAGTACTATTAAAGATTTCCAATAAAACCCAAGCCAACTAGACTTCAGGTATTATGGTATAATTGTAATATTCCTTGTATGAGCCATGATCACTCATACAGGAACAGAGTATATTATTTATGCACCTCTGAATGTTGACTCATAGAAACCAAACTACATATTTCTTTAAAATCATTCCCCATTCATCTTGTTATAGTAGTTTTGGAGCAGTGAACTTACTTTTTATTAGCTTTAGAGTGTAATGGACAGATTAAAAATGTACTGCTATATTCTAGCCAGTCTTGAGTTTATTTGGCAATTTCAGGGTAGAAGATGAAAATACCTTTTAGCCTTCTGCAGACAAAGGAGTTTACTTTAATCATTTGCTTTTGTATGTGTCATAGTGTTGCTTAAAGACATGATAGTTGACCTGTTGTTGATGTTCTCCAAAATTAGTATAATAGTTTATAGTGGCCACATGTTTATAGAGTTTGTGCATATTAATTCATTTTTACAGTATTTTAGTAAATGCTTCATAATCAGAATGCAAGGTGCAATACTTTGCTTTTTTTCTCTGAATTGACTGTCTAAACTGTCATTTCTAAAGGTCACTTGCATAGAAAATACCTTTGTTATATTTTTTATGGAATTTAGCTAGAGAGAGAGCTTGTGCCAGCAAGCGTCTACTCAACCAGAAGTCTGTGGATACATTTTATTTTGTACAGTAACAATTTTCTGCGTTGTATCTGGAATAAGTAGTTCTGTTTTCAGCCTCTCCAAGCTACCACAACACCTGGAGAAGCAACAAAAAAGTAACCACAGCAGTCATGTCTGAAAATAACTTTTACAGCTGTTATCTAGTTCGATATGTTTGGTGTTAACTCATTCTTTTCTGTTTTCCTTTTCTTTATGCTTAAACAGAAAGATTGTATTACATTACTGCTTGTTGTGTGTGTATGTGCTGGTGTGAAAATGCACAGCCATGTGATAAATTTGTTCTTTACATTTAGACAAGAACCTATCCAATACTAAAGGCCTGTATGAGTTATTAAAATTCTGCTGCTATAAAAACTCGGCAGGTCAGAATGACAGTAAAAATACCTACAAACTCACTGAAGTGTATCATCTCCCCATCCTCTCTTCTCTGCCCTTCAGCATGTTTTACAGGGGTCCTGGCAGGACTTGAACAGACCAAAGGTGAGAGAAGGTGAATTCCAGAGCTGAGGGCATTTAACCAAAAGCAATGGGATGTATTTTTTAAATATTTCAAGAGCACCTAGAGCAGTGGTTCCCAAAGTGGGGTTCGCGAACCCCTGGGGGTTTGCAGAACGTTACAGGGAGTTCGCCAGAAAAATTTCACTAATGGTGGCCAGAGGACCCCGGGCATTGGAGGCAGCAGGTGGGACCCAGTTGCAGGGCAGACGGCCTGAGCCCCAGGGAGAGTCGGGCAGAGCAGTTTGGGCTGGGAGCCTGAGCCTGCCCCCGTCAGCGGGGGAGCCGGCAGCCCGAACCCCAGCGCTCCATTTTCCTCCTATGCACATCTGAAAACCAAACACAGAAACAGACGTGATGCCAACCAGATCTGAGAATTTATCTTTCTCCAGTGGTTCCGGACTTCCAAGAACTATGCAGAGCAAAGCAAGCACGTCCATCACACTGAGGAAATTTAAACTTAAATCCCTGGAAATATTCATTTTTAGAAGGGGGTTCACGAGATTTCACAATTTAGTGAAAGGGGTTCGCGGCTGTTAAAGTTTGGGAACCACTGACCTAGCGCAGTGATTCTCATACTTTTTACTGGTGACCCCTTTCACATAGCAAGCCTCTGAGTGTGCCCCACCCCCCATCAATTAAATGCTTTTTAACACATTATAAATGCTGGCGGCAAAGCAGAGTTTGGGGTGGAGGCTGACAGCTCGTGATCCCCCATGTAAGAACCTTACTACCCCCAGTTTGAGAACCCCGACCTAGAGCATATGAAAGTGCACCATCTTTAGCATTTCTATACATCAAAATAAATAAAAGTAACCTGCCATTACCTGTTAGGTAGTCAAGACCCTAACCATTTATTGTGTACTTTGGCTGCCTCACCTGCCCTTTGCCCACTAATCCATCTTTGCTGGAACTACTACTAACATTCTAGACCTTTGAGCAGCTTTAAACAGCTGCCATTTTTTAAAATAAAAAGCAAAATCAGCTAAAAGTTTCATTCCTCCTCCACCTAAAACTGCGATTCAATCCTGAAGCAGTGGAAACTTTAGGATTCCATATCTTGTGACCATCAAGTCTCGATACAATGAAAAAGAAGAGATTCCTAGCCTTTCATGCTTCCTTCTTGATAATTTTCTAAATACCTAGACCTAAAACATACACGTGGAAACGATACCTTAGGTCATTTGTAGAGGTTTTCTAAAATTTATTAGTTATACCTTTCCTGCTAAAATGTTTTTCTATAGAATGGAGCTTATACATAGTTCATGATGCTGTGATGTGTTGTGGTACGGAGGTTTTATTCATTTATAGAATGCTAATTTGGAGAGACCTGCATAACCTGTAATTCAACTTGCTTTTTAACTGCCTGTTCTTACACAAGAGTTTTACTTTTTGGACTTAAATTTTCCAAACTTCAACTCCTTTTAAAGGTTAATTTTCTTTGGAACACTTTGGTAAAATCCCATTAGTTGTTTTTGAACTGCTGAATTTCTGAGATCTAGTTCTACTGAGAAGGTACACCACCCCAGATTGCAGTGTCCGTTTTATAATGCACACCAGTAACTGTGCATTATGTAATTGGTATTTCATACTGTCAGGTTAAGCTAGCACATTCTAACCATTTGGTTTTTAGGAGGTGGACCAGAGAAAAGAATATATTGAATTGTAATTTATTGCATCTGAAGGATTTACATTAGTGAAGAATCCAGTTAATTTCTGAATTTAAAAATACAGGTTAATTTTGAAATGCTGCTTCTGAATCCTTAAAATGTGCTGCTTAAGGCAGTCTCTTTATTTTCAGAAAAATTGCCAGACACACTGTACATAATGCCCCAGAAGTGTTTATTTGCTGGACATATAGTCTACTGTAACAGGACAGTAATAATAATATAGTTATATAGTCTTCTTCTGTCATTCGTAACTAAATAATAATCCTTTTGAGAGGAACTCTTTCATGTATGGTCTTGTTGAGTTGAATTTTTTCTTTGGAAAAAGTGATCCACTTTTGAGTTATACAAGTGTAGAGTACAAGCTGTTTTCTACATTGAATTAACTTGAAAAGCAGCTTTGTCGCAAAATTTCCAATGTAGCATTTATGATGTCCTCAGTAAGGAATGCTGTGCTAAAATAAAAAAATGTTGGTTTTAAATAGTTACGATGTTTGAAAATGGTATGCTCAGTATGTGTGGTATAGTCAGTCTCCAAGCATCTATCAAGAATGGTGTAAAGATGGACCAGTTGTCCTCACTTCCCCTTAATCCTTCATACACATTTGTCGGCTGCTGCTTTTTTTTAATTTTTTTTTAAAATGTGCATTTACTAGATGATCAATTCAGAACAAGAGCATATACAGAGTGCATTGAATCTGAATTAGGTGACTGGGAGATTTTCTGCCTGTCACGGGGCGCTCTGCTCATCACAGGGATGGTGCCTCCTCCTGGTTGTTCTGGGGATTAGCTCTGCAAGGCCGACAGCCCTTCCTGTGATTGCACGCCATCTCCCTGTCAGCCTGCAGCCCCTCTCTCACTCCAAGAATTGCAGCGTCCTCTTCGTGACTCGGCCCTCCAGCCAGGTCACTCAGTATTCCCCCCCTTCTGGGGTTTAGTTCTTCAAAGGCTCTGTCACTCCCACAGTTACCCAGGCAGTCTTCCACTTCACTGCCCTGTCAGTGCCACTTCCGCTGTTCAGTCCCTGACCTTGCTGCTTCCTACCCTGCATTCCACAGGCTCTCTTCTCCACCATGATCTCTTCAGTTTATGCCACTATGCCCTCTTTCTGGGTCCAACTCTTCCCTGGGATCCCTCCTTCCCTCTCCATTAAACAGAGGGTGACCACCAACTTCCTCCCAGCAGCCCTTGCTGCTGCCAGCTTCCTGGTTTATACTGCCCCAGCTCACGTCTGCTCTGGTGAGCTTCCCTCTAATCAAGGCTCTTCACCCAGCCTATATCTCCCTCATTTGCTGCTTGATTGGTAATTGGCCCGTCTGGCCTCCATTAATCCCTTTAGGGTACTGCATCACGTGCCGACTTGGCTCTTTCTGATACCATTTGAAAGGTGAGAGTGAAAAGTTAGTACTCTGCCTCCCCATCCCTCACCACCTTAAGAATGTATCAGAAGGGGCCAGTAGGCCTTGGCAGCCTTTTGGCTGGGTCTCCTGCCATCTTCTGCAAAGCCTGTGTTTTAAAGGATCCAATGCCCTTTGAATCTCTGAATTCAGTATACCTAGTATGTTATATTTAAATGTGCAAGCTAATGATAAATACCATTAGTCTGATTGTGCGATCACAATATCACATGGAAATGACCTTACCTCCGTGACAAATACCCAGCCCCCCTCCCAAAACTGCGAATTATTCATCCTCCAGTTTCAAAACTACCAACTACCAACACCTCTCAGCTATAGAAGCCCTAACCAAAACCCATAGCTCCTTTCAGGACCGAGAAAGCGAGAACATACATATATTTTAATGTGTTCAGGTTAAACTGAATGCATTTAATTCTGTAATCTGATCACACATTCAGATGTTAAAATGTCCACGTGTATGTACGTGTGACTTACTCTCATATTCAAATATGCGCACTGACATATACCAGTGCAGTTGGCTCTAGTCGGAAATGAGGATTGGGGAAGGTTTCTGGGGCTAGACGAAGACTTCCATTGGGAAACGGTTTGACCACAGGAGAAGGGGTAGACGGAGCCCTTGTTACTAGGGAAGGTTGGGTTGAGAACTCTTGTCGCTTTAATTCTTTTCTTTCCTTTTTTAAGTAAGGAAATTTCATTAACATTTTCTCTTTCATGTAACTTTGAGATTGAGAATATAATCCCCCAAAATCAAAAATTAAAAAAAAGATGGTTCAGAAAACAGCAGCATTCACTAGGCCATATCTTAATGTTGTACTATAGCCTTCTAGTATAAAATGATCTAACCAAGGAACAACATGGGCTTCCCTTTTTATTATCCTTTTTTTGCCTGCTAATACATTTCTGAAAAAAATCTTCCCTTGGTGCCAGACTAAAAGTGAATATTTTAGTTAGTTTGAGCAATGTCTATTTGGCTGGTTTAGTTATCCAAGCATGAAAAATTATAGAAACTTTTTATAGTCAGGTTATTCAAAAACTACAGAAATGGAAAACTTATAGATGAGTAAATTCTCTTTAAGGAGGAGTCTCAGACTAATCTGGAAAAGAAATTGAAATATTTGAGTTATAAGAAATATAAAAATCACTTTTCCATATATGTAGTATGAAATTTCCTCTAAATTTAGAGGTGAAATACTTTTTTATGGGACTTTGGAGCATTGTAAATACATTGTAGTATAATAGTACTTTTAATTTTTCTCTATTTTCCTGTCTGGACACATTAGGGTTTGCTGTCAGTGCAAAGATCCCATATTTTTAACAGTACAAAGTGAAATAAATACATTTTAATATCTTAATCTCATGTTAAAAAAACAGGAAAACCAAATGCAAAAACTTATTAAACACTTTTCTCAGGAAATGTAGGTGTCACAAATTGAATTTGTCATCTGCACTTTACATAGGGCGTATTTGAGATTAGTAGGTACACAGTTGCAGTACATGTGTACCTTTTTATCAAATGCGAGTGAGTTACTGCTAATAAGGAATACTTTTACTTACCTTTCTTGACTTAGTTCATTTTTTAACCACTCAACCTTTCAGCAACATAAATTTCTGTATTTTAATATATTATGGACTACATCCTACTTAGCAGTATAAACTATCATCCAAAATCCTCTGTCTTTTGCAGTGTGGCCAAATGAATATTAACTATGTAAACATATTTTGAATCCCCAGATAGAAATCTGCATTTAAATTGTCAACCTTAGTCATGTATATTTGGCCATATAGTTACACATAAATGTGTTAAACATTATTTCCAACAGTTAAAGTACTAAAATCTCTGTTCAGCAAGTTACATTTTTTAAAATCAAATTGCTAAGTATTTGTGTGAATGCACACTGACTGTGATATGTAAATACTTTGTTTAATGTATTGGAAATTATAGATTAGTGGTATGTCTTTAACTGTAGCTAAAGCAGTTTTTAATTGGCACACTATTAACCTCAGTATAAAAGATATGCACATTTTATCTGACAATTTTTCCATCTGTAATATATATTCAGTTATAAAGAACTCAATTGAAGCTTCATTTTTCAAATGTTTTATCAAGTAATTTCTATGGTTAATCAAAGTCTGACTGTTTATGGAAAAATATGACAGCATTTCAATTTGTTAAAATACAAATTGTATTTGGAGAATTGTCCATAAGTGGTCAAGTGGTTGTGTAACTGAAATGTTATATATTTGTCTCTTTGCTTTGTTCCCCACTTTTCCTTTTGCAGTGGCATTTTCCATTGGATAATCTCTGATACTTATCCAAAAACAAGGTTAGATAATTATTTAGAACTCAGTTCTGCACTGGATAACACCCCACAGAGCCCTTGCGAGCAATCATGTATAGGGTCATTGCCTTAGGGCCTGACTCTGCCACTTGTCCCTGGACAGAATTCCCATTGAAACCAATGGGAGTTCCATGCATGGCGCAGCTGCAGAATTGGGCCCTATTTGAAGTACAGTGTGTTAATTTTATCCTTGCAGCACTAAATATAATACGCCCCAATTCTACAAAATAAAAAAAAAGTCTAAACTGGAATTTGTTCTCTTTTCAGGTGGTGCGGGATTACAATCTTCAACTGTTTTTACAGGAGAGCTCTGTATTTCACAGACCACAACCCTTCCAGTTCCAGCCTAGCGACAGCGACACCGTAAGGGCATTCCTAAATTCTATGATTCTGTTATTCCAGTTCTGTTCTTAACAAGGTTTTTGGGGGGCAAACTGGTAAGAAACTAGCCTTGTTTGCTAATCTTTCAGTGTTCACTAACACAGCTGGTATTCCTGGAATAGGTAGAGGTCACTGACCTGATTTCACCAGCTCTGCTCACAATAGGTGTGTAATTACAATAAAGCTCCGAACAGATGCCAGTATTGTCACCTGCAAAAGAACTGCACTATTTTTGCCTCCTGCTTGCATGACTAACATCCTGGATTTCTGTTTTGAGCTAATAGTTTTTGCTAAACCTATTAAACTCTGTTATATTCTGGTGAGGTTCTCCAAACATCCATAAAGGTAAGGTTACAAAGAGACAATTTAATGATTTGCCAAATAAAATGTCCTATTCCCTTCAGTTGACTCGAGAAATATATATACTTCTTGGTTTAAATAAATAGGATACAGTTGACGTATTCCAAAATGGTTTCTAAATACATGCAGTCTTTTGACATATTCCACTTTTCAGAAAAATCACTGGTGAAATTATAATTCAGTAAATCACAGTATAATGGATAAGTTCCTGAAGGGTTTTTTAAAAATAGAAATTGTCTGTTGATTTTTCATTCTCCTAGAGTTAGGTATAAGTACTATTTTGAACTAAGTTTAGGTTTAAAAAGAGAGAACCTTATACAGGTTTTTAATTCCTTGGTTCAGACTTGGTAAATCCTGCTTGGGGAAAAAAGGCCTGGCCCTCACATTGAATGTTTAAATCAAGAAATTGTATTAATGGATATGTTATGGACTGTATGAGTAACTTTGCCAGAAATAAACATTAACCGCTATAACAAAATCGCCCTTGAAATTAAAATGTTATCTTTTGGCTTTCCATCTTAACAAACGATAAGCAATTTTAATTTTTGCCTAACCTCTCCATAGAGCAAATTGTTTACATAAAGTGCTAGGTTGTTCATAGTACCGTGTGCTGAATTTCCTCACTTGTGTGTGCCTTGTAATTCTAATTGTATGCTCTGTGTTTTTGTCCTTGTGCAATCTTTGTCATTCAGAGTTTTAATGCAGTTCAGCTGGTGGATATTGAGCCTTCACCTGTCAGTGCTATGAGAATGACTATAGCAGAGGTATATGGTAGTATTTGTCATCAGTGTTTGGCATTTGTGGTATTACTGGTATGCATGCTAATGTGAGTGCTAAATTCACTGTCATGCATAAGTAGCAACTGAATGCATAATATATAAGGACATAACTCACTTGCTCCATTTTGAGAACTAATAGTTAAATTACCATTTTCTTGTTTCATGTTATGTTAATTGTATGGATCAGTTTCTCACTTATAGCTTCTTGCGTTCTGAAGTATCTTGTGCTTTTGCACATCATTTGTAATTAAAATTTCACAGCTTGAGGATATATAGTGAAGTGTGTATTTGTCACTCCTCTGACATGCATAGAGAGGCTTATCTCAGTATTTCATCTTTTAATATAACTGAAGATATTTGTAATACATACAAGACAAGGGGTCTTCAACAATATTTTTTAAGTAAATACATATCAGTTCCGTGCTTTCATGTGTGATATCAGGGGGTAGGAAAACCCGGGCATGTACTAAATAAAGCAATGTAACTCCCAAGTGATCATTTGAGAAAAATACATGTAACTCTCTCTCTCTCTCTCTGTCAACGTAAAATTAGACTGAGACTCATAACATACAAGGGAGCCACTAGCATGTGCTGATAACCAACCCCCCCGCCCCCAAACCACATAAATTCTCCCCTTTTTCTAGAGAACTACCCACATCTGAAATAGAACCTTAATTTAGTTTCATAAAGTCCCCAACATTACAAATAAGATTCTTCTTTGAGGTGGTCACTGTGTGTTCCGCCTTGTCAAATATGCATCTCTGATGCTCTGAGCTTCAAGAACTTTCTAGAAAGCAGTGCCAGAGCGTTCAGAGCCAAGGATGTAAAACATCATGCCTCAGTATTTTAAAGACAGTTTGTCTCTCACTTGCCTGACCATACCCAAGTTCAGGATTACTCTTCCCCCTCCCCTCCCCCCTTGCACGGCCTTTTCCTGGAGTTTTAGCTGTTTCTGAAATTCTCTGTTTCCCCAAGAAAATCATAAAAAGCTTCATGTCTTGACTGTCAAATACTTCTCACTTAATTGGGTCAAGAGTGGTGACTTAGAACTGTGTGAAAGTGGGGACGATAATTTTACATTTTAAGTTTTCACTCAAGATTTTTGCTTCTGAATTTCAGTCAGAAGTGGTACATTTTCTATTAAGTCAAATTATAATTGACTGAAAGATTTATAACTATTATGCATTTTTTGCCACTTATTTCCTGCCATTTTGTGTGGCAGATTTTCTGAGATACAGTGGGTTTTAATGGGATAGGCATGATTATTTTCATTCTAAAAGGTTAAGAAAATATACTGCAGAGTGAGCTGCCATTCTTAGCTAAAATACTATTTTTCCAAAGGACAGTTTTGAGCTTCCTTGCAGAATAAGTTCCTGACACAGTGGAGCTGAGGTCCATGTTTGGGGGTTTTAGGCACCGCTATCAGATGAATTACAATATTTCCTGGTTTTAAATATGAATGCTTGGCTTGACTGTTGAGCTTCCCAGTACGATGGAATATAAAGGATTGTCATACAGTCCCTGAGTTGTCCAAAGCTCGCAGGGGCTAGGAGTGCAGCAAACCTAGTGCCTTCAGCCTCTGAAAGGAGGAAGCTGATAATTCTCTCTCTCAACAGACAGTCATTGACAGTTGCCATGAGAGGTTCTTAGTAGAGATAAGTGGGGAACTGTTTTCCTGACCCATGAGAATTTTCAGTACGTCAGAAAATTTTGCCATCCTGAATCAGGGCAAAAAAGTCAACATCTTCAACATTTTTGTGAACCAAAATTCTGGAAAAAAAATTCTAATTAGGTCATTTGAAATGTTTGTTTTGATAATTTCAAGACATTTCATTTTGATTTTGACTTTTTTACATTTTTCTATAAATTAACTTAAATTTCTAAACAGTTGTTTTGACCCAAAAACCATAACTTGTTTGTTTCAAAAACGTTGAAATGGGATATTTCAACAATATTAAATCTTTTTTCTAAAGGAGAAATTTCAGTTTTGAAGAATTGATATTTTCTGACCAGAAAAAAAAAATCTTAACCAGCTCTAGTTTTCGCTCCTTTCAAGAGGAAAATTTACAGACGCACAAGGCCTTTCAGAATGAGTAGAAAAAATAAATGCATTTTGGGGGACACTTTTTTCCTCCAGAAGAAAAGGAATTCAGTTAACCTGTGCCGTGGATCTAGATGAAGAGCGTTATAGCTAACATAATGGGGAGTTTAATCATCAGGACGTCTGTTTAGAAGACAAAGTGAACTTCTAATCAGAAGTCAACAAAGTTCATTGTACAGAATACATATTGTCCATCCCCACAATACTTAGATAAGCATATCTTTAAGAGCATGGCAAAATATTAAAGAAAATTAGCCAGCTTTTTTTATACTTCCTGATTGGAAAAGGATCCCCTTCCTTGAACTACATGTTATCGTGTGAGAAACTGCAACAAATAATGAAAAGCATCTCCAAAAAACTGAGAATAAGGGCAACAAAGAGCTGACACTAAACTTTTGAAGCAATTCTCCTTCCTGTTTTTCTACTCACGGCCTTTGTAATTACAGCGTCTCTTGTTACAGTATTAGGATTGTTGTCTTTCTCTCAGCCAGGTTAAACTAGTGCTAGTTGGCATTAACATTTACTAGCTTACCAAGTTTAATTTTTTGAAAAAGTATTTAATTTATAAGACACACTTAAATATACATTTTGATGTTAGTACATTTTCAGCATAGGTGCAGTGCAGGAAGTAAACTTTGAACATCCCAGTAACATTAGTGGGTGTTCCGCAGTTTAGTTCCTTAAGGACCATGCTGAAGATTATAACTTTTAAGACCTGATGTCCTAAGTTGTATTTGGGAGCAGGGATAATAATTTCACTATTTTCTTGAACGTGCAGGTGAGTTTGTCCACTTTTGTTCCAGCTCAGACTAGAAACATTTTATAAAAATATATGGGCCTGATTCTCATTTCCACTAAGGTCCTCTTTACATCGCTCTGGCAATATGAAAGGGCCTTAAAGTGGGTGTAAGTGAAATTAAACTTACTTACACTTAAGGCTCCTTAGTGAGTCAGTGAAGAAGTAAGGAGGACCCAGTGATGTGCAGTCCTTGCTTACATGAGTAGCTCCAAGTCCAATTAGACTACTTCTGCACAGTCCGCAAAATCAGGCCCTAATTTCCTACCTGATAAGGTATAAAAAAAACTGACACACATTTTAAAATGATACAAAATAATTAGATAATTTTTAGATGTAGCTTTACTAGAAATTAAGCAAATTTGATATGGTTAAATGTTACCGCTTCAGGTACTATGAATTGCTGCTGAGAAGAAATACAACCATTCAGTTCAAGAGGTGTTGGTAATAAATGCTGGTGTCTTTCCTAAGTGGGGACTTTGTAAAGCTGTAAAATTATCCATGTAATTTGACATATCCTGTGTGTGGCTGATGTCACTGAAGGTTCTTTCGTTTGAGTGACCCTCCTTACGGACAGGTTTACAATCTGGGGCTTGTGATATGGTAATCATATTTGAAGTTTATTAAAAGGTCAGTTGTGAAGAAAATTATGGAGAATTACAAACTCAGTCATCTGATCTGTGAGCTGTGGCTGAGTTTTAACATGGTTCCTGCCTTACTATGCATATGGGGAAATTAAAATGTCTAAGTACATAAATTTTTGTGGCATCTGGAGACCATGCTGATAGCAGCATTCAATAAACTTTGTCCATGTCTGATTCTGAACAATTGGTTAAAAACAAGTGTCAATTGTTAAAGTAATTTAAAAACAGCGAGACCAGTTACACAGATCTTCTGTCTACTGATGTTTTCAGTCACTACCAGAATAGATGACCGTAGAGTTAGT